ATGTGTTATTATTGATAAGAATATCTGTGGAGTTTCAGAGTGGACTTTAGCGCTACACCATACCGATTTCTTCCACAAACTCGTAGCCAACCTGCTGTTACACATGCCAATATGATCTTAAGCGGCGATGCTACGCTTGAGTCTTGAGCCAGACCTAGTAGATTTTAAGCATAGATAGTTGAAAATTGAGACTTGGTCATGAAAGAGTGGGAAACGTACCTGGGTACCCTCCTCTGAACCACCAAGAAGTTTAAAACCAAAACCGTTAGCCTCGCGTCTCAAATTCACGAAAAATTCGCCGTAGGTGTGAGATGCGATTGCTGTGCGTCGGGGAAGTGATTCGTAGTCGGAGTTTAGATGCAGCAATTGTCCGCTTCCGAAGGGATTACCTAGGAAAAGAACAAGGTATACCAGAACGGTGTTTTATTCACAAGTTGATCAGGAGAGCCCATTAATTTGTGTTGATTTCACTTTCCATGATGGAGTCGTGGAAGCTCAAGCATGTCTTAAGCCTTGCTGTTCATTTGAATTCTTGTATTAAACTGTCTTCCCTATTGGTATTTCGTAATAACCCTCCACAGATCCACGTTGGCATTGCCTGCTGGGATACCTATCTCATTGCTAACCCAATACTCGCCTGTATTGGGCGCCTTCAATGGGAAGAACTACCAACCAAAATCGAAATGAGCAATGATATGCATGCATCACTCCGTTGATACATCACAGGCTGTGACTCAGTCCAAAGAATCCGGAGGCAAAGCGTATGCATATCCAAAAGTGGCCTGGATAAATGCAAGGGTTTTTTCTAGAATGGTTAGGTGTTTAATGGTAATGAGATGCAAAAAAACTAGTATCCACATGCCTCGAGAACTGAGTTACTTTATTTACCACACAAATCTGACATAATTGAATGGATGACTAAAGTACTGCGGCGCTGTAAGCAGTTTAGACGCTAACCAATGCAGCACCAATCACCAAGATCATGGCTAAAGATTATATTTACTTTTTGTGATGTAGCTACATTAACTTCAGACATCATCTATCCCCTTAAATGTGCTTCTACTCTCCAAGTCAGTAGGTGTTGCAAAAGAAGATTATCTATAGGTTCCTAAATCTTCAGAACTAGAGTGCTACCTTCTCATGTTATCAATACTACTAGTCCATCAACACTTGTCTATGTTTAAAAAGCAACAAAATTTAAACTGATGCACCCCAACAAATGCTGCATCGAAACTCTGCAGACGTAATTAAGGAAGTGCGGATGGCCGAGACCCTGATGCATAACGACGTCAACCCCTAAAAATTCATAAATTTAGAGCTAGTTATAATGCCAGCAATGGGTGAAATCAGGTCTGATTGCAGCAGCGATAGGAGAACTCGATAGCTCCAGTTTACAGAATGCGAGTGCTTTCGCAAAAGATGTAGCAGCTGTAAGGGTATCATCCAACCTAAAGCATCGTATAAGAACAATTTTTCCCCATTGGAGTTCATGCTTCGCACTTAATCCCGTAAAGTGAACCAGTAATAACATGAGAACCATTCATCCTATGCTCCTCGAAGGAAATAGTGTGGTCAAATAATACCTCTTTCAACTGTGAGCCTGACCGTGTAGAACTGCTTATCCTCTGCTCTTCTAGCAGAACTAATAGGGCGCTACAGAGGTAGCACATTAGGGGAAACTCATCGGGACGACAGTGATAATGACTCACTTCGCGAGAGACCCTGCTGTAGGCAATAGGCGTCAAAATCAGTCCCTCCATAACGCTTCAGTCCGGCTGTCCAAAGACCAGTGCTAGCACCGCCACAACCACTCCCAAAGCTGACGTTAGCACCTGGTGTGGCTAAGTTAAGTGGAGGCGAGGGACAGCGGTAAAGCTCCAACCCATTCACTGACTCGCCCAGACTGTAGATGCAGTCTGAACTGCTGCCCAATCCCGCCCCCGTTCCCACACCCGTACCACGACGAGATTCCTCACCCGGACCCGGAGTGCGGGATCGATAGCGTGTTGTGGCGGTCTTCGAAGTTGTCATGCTCTGAATCTGCAAGATCAATTGAAAAGAGACAATCCATGGTGGTGAGCGATTTGTGTAGGGGAAT